TAAAAATGATTTTATCACTATGAAATTTTCACCACTGACTGAATTTGGATTGAAGTTTGTCAAAATGTAGTTTAAGTAAAATTGATATCACTATGACAACAATGAACAAAACGCTTTGAAATCGAAAAATGTCGAGTTTTGTTTGACCTGCTATTGACCACTACAGAAAGTACCATAACACACCATAATGCTCTTTGTTTGTCACCCCAAAATTTTACTTAAGCATTGTTTTCAGTTTCTCTTGGGGCCATTTTAACTCCCGAGAGAAAATGAAAGCAATGCTTATGCAAAATTTTGGGGTGTCAAACAAAGAGCTAGCATTATGGTATGTTATGATATTTCCTGAAGTGGTCAATTAAGCAGCATTGGATGGATGAATGAATCAAGGAATTTCCCTTATTTCAATACGGTAGTTTCGATAACTTAAATTTAACTTATTAACTTGTGAAAGCCGTATTCAAATACACACTGAACGTAAAGGTCTATTAAGAGTGACCATTGAAGTACAAAAACTGATCGTGTTTACAAATCTAAATTACTTAGAATTCCAATTAAAAGAGGCAAAAATAGAGAAATTTAAGGATTAATTTAATGATTAATTGAAGATAACCGATTGCTGGAAAAGTTGTAAGAGTTTTTTTTTTTTCAAGATTGTAAGCTAAAATGCAATCATATCTTGATAACAAGCTTTTGAAAAGTATAAAAACAAGAGAGGCATAATTCAATGAAAAACAAAATTCTAGATTCAGACAACAAAAATGGAAACAGAACTAAAAACTACATTTTGAGAGTCAGTCAGAATTTAGAGTCAGTCTGTGGTGAAAATTTCAAAGCGATCGAACGGGGAAAAAATCATTTTTAAAGCGATTGAAAAATATCGGTATGGCCTCCGAAAAACTGTATTGATATGAAACACCTTATGAACATCAGATGATCAATGAAAGGGGAGCGCAGAATTACCCTGGTTCTATGAGTTTTTCTCGAAAAATTGCCGCGACTAAAGGCGAGAAAAAAATGCTCTTGATATTAATATATTACTGATCCCATTTGGACTTATCTGCCGGATATTTGCTCCTGTTAAATATGCTCTACATGTCAATCCCATTTTTCGTGCAAAGTGGAGATGTTATTGATAAATGAATAGAAAAAGCTAACATTTATTGGCGGACAACAGAGTTTACTTCAAGTCAACATGTACGACAAGACACATATTAACAAAAGCTGTCCATGTGGGCATTTTCCGTAGGATTATCAATTTGCGCAGAGCACGTAATCAAAATTCGAATTGATCGCTCATGATTTAGTTGAAAGAGCTGGACACCCTAATGGTGGGCCTGACCCCACTATTTGTATCGAAAACAATTTTTAGCTATTTTTTCACACTTTTTTATGAGTACGAGATTAATAGACAAGTTGAATAGATACGGTTCAGTCGCCCGAGAGTTTGAGGTAAGATTGCCAGGAAAGGCTATCGAGAAGATAACAGGAAGAGGTAATTATAAAGTTCCGGTGAACACAACGTACATGGCTTATTCCCTTGCCTTGGATCTATTTTGAAAATGAAAGTATTATGTTTTAACAGATTAAAAGACAAAGTTAACTTTTTTCTGGCTTCTCGGGAGAAATTTTTGAGCCAAAAAATTTAAAATAAAAAAGTATGTGATGTCCACGATGACATTGAACCCCAAAGCAAACGGAATCCATATCGCTCCAGGTGACGGGACACGCCTTTGTCATAGGCACTTTACTTTGCAATTACCTAATAAGATGTTTTCGTAATATTTGTTTCTTTTTTTTATGTTTGTTTGACTGACATCTTGTGCCAAATTGGTTGAAGAAAAGTTGAGATTGGTTTCAGTTGCGTCGTAGACAATCGAGGCCAAATTTAGGCTTAACTCCTGTCCTTCGCTTCGTATAGTTTTTATCATCCACGTTCCTCTCAGTTCATTCGCAAGAGCACTTTGTTGTAAGTACGAATATTTTTCTCTATCTGTTTTAAAGTAAATGTGCAAAAAAGGTGTTACGTTATGGTACTTTAAAATACCTTCAATTTGGGCCGTGGTGAAAAAGCTATTGTCTTGGAGTTTTCCATTAGCAGAGAAGAGCTAAATAGCAGTCAGCAATAACTGTTTGGAAGCGAGTTTCCCGCAAAAGTTACTTTATTTATTATTAATTTCGTTTCACTTTATTATTTCAAGTTATGCGAATAATTCAGAATCCGATCACCAAGGTTAAAAAAGGTTTCGGCTCTGGTGGGGGGTTTTCGAAGAGCGGCACTAAACGTAACCCATTGCAGCGGGTATCCTAGGACCTAAGCATCTCTGTTTTTCTCCCTGTGTAAAGTTTTTTATAAATGCTTGTTCTCCTTAGCGAAGTAGAGAACATCTGCCTGTTATATAAATGACGAGTTCTCTCAAAAGACCGCCCGCTTTCTTTTATGTAGGTTGGCCTACACTTTATTGTCCAGTCCGTTCCGGCGTAAGAAGATTTTAAACCATAAAAAAAATTAAAAGTAATTTAATTCTACCGCAGCTGGTTATGTCTTTTTAATGAAAAGACTTTTTAAATCAAAATTCCTAACATTTCCGGCTGACTACAAGAAAGCAATTTGACCCTGAGCTTTTAGGAAATGAACAAAACAAACTGAGCTAATAACGAAAGCCAATAAATTCAGTTTCATTAAAGCTTCCGTTTAATCGTTGATGTCAAATGTAAAAGCGCAGCGACAAGATGGCATTTTCTAGACTGGTTCTTCATTTATAAGACCAATTGGGACCTTGGTAAGCAGTAAACTGGAAAGTAAAGTAAAGTATTGATAATATAAGTACTGATTCGATTTGCTATTACAAGGGAGGCGACCGCTTAAATAAGAATAGGGATTCAGTTGCCATCACCGGCACTGGGCTGGATGGTGCGCCAATTACACTGAGGCATTATTGACTTTTTATTGCCAAATTATTCTTCGTGCTTTGAGTTAGAGACTAAAAAGAGATCGGTCTATAAATACTTATTAATTGATTATAGTAAACAATTGTTCAATAAGAGATTTTTGATATGGAAAAAAAAAGAAAAAAACAAGATGGAAAAGAAAAATAGAAAGAAAAGGAAAACGACAGTCACTTAATAACAAGCCATAGAAACTTACTATACAGAACAAGTTAGGTCTTTCACTTAAACCGGGGATTTAACAATAAAGTGTGCGGGCTAAACAATCGTCTCCGTCGTTACTGGGTTAATGGAAGCAACCCTAACATTCGTTTATACTTTGTTGTGTAAAGTATTCATTCATAAATCTAATATATGATATGAATTAATCGCAGTTTGTGTCAGGTATACTTTAACCTTCATCGTCATGGGGCGTAATATTTCCTGACTTTGCTGCGCTTTTCAAAAACACGCGAATTCTGAAATTCAAAAGCCAAGTCACGTTTGCGTTCTTCAATGCCGTTAATCATCTTAGCGGACCTCTTAGGTAACATAAGTGTTCTTCAACGAGTTTAAAAGGTCGTGGTTTGTGATTGGTGGATTTTGATCCATTTTGTGCGTTTCTGTGTTTCAAGGTTCGTTGCTTGTGATCGTAATTATAACATAGGCACGTTAAACGTGCATGAGCTATTTTGAATACTTCGGTGTAACCTTACCAAGAATGATGAATCTACCTTTTTCATCCTAAATGTAGATTTGGTTTTTGTGCGAAATTGGGTATTGCGCTACATAAATGAAAACGCGAAACGCTCAGCTGAGTCGATCCTCAACCTATATATTCACTTTCCTCTGTCTTTCCCTTTTACATCTGGTGCAAGTTGAACAAATTGTTAAAGTAAAATAAATTTATACTCACCAAACGTTGATTAGAAGGAAAACTCTAAGGTTTCCTCGGAGTTTCTTAAGAGTGTGTCCATGAGAGAACCAGGCAGGAGGTGATAATGCTCAAATCACGGATTTCGCTCAAACTTGGCACAATTGATGGGTGTGGTGAGATATTAACCTCGACAAAAAATAAGATCGCAATATTGAATTCCCTGGGATTTACAGGGACCCCCCCCCTAAAAACGACAAAATCTACTCATTTTTGCATAATTAATTAGCTGACTTTGGTTTGGCTGTTCAACAAGAAGAAAAGACAACTT